CGCCAGCCGTCAAATCAATCTGGGCAATGGGAAAAAGAATCCCACTGGCCAGACCAGTCTGACCATCGATCTAACCAATGGGAAACACTGGTTATAATACTACCTAATTCAAAATTAGATGTAGCTAATATCACGTATTGTTCAAGATTGCATCAAATAAACAATAGGTAAAACAAACGTTGCTATTGTAGATTACACTTGTGAGCCGACTAGTCGCCTAATGTGCCTTAACATAATAAAAAACTCATGTGCGATCTCGACAGTGTAATTATTTAAAAATCGCTTTTTTTTATTTTATAATTCCAAGTGACAAACAAGTCGTGCGCTTGGTGGTAAGCGGCTCGCGACTCGCCTATCCACAGCAGTTGCAGTGCCACTCAGAGCTTTAAGCCTGACACATAAGTTGACAAGTCCCATGTGCCTGTTATTTCACCAGCACGCTTACCCTTCAAAACCGGAACGCAGTAGTCACATTACTGCTTGGCGGCAGAAATAGGTAAGGTGGCAGCTTTATTTTCGTAACTACGACCATTATCATCTATATCTTGATATTTCAACTTTAATATCATAACCTTAAGGCGAATGGAGCTATGTGTGAAAAGAAATCATTATTCGTCACCTAAAAATCTTCTGCCTTCTTTTTTTTTTTATGATAACGAAGGGACGAACAAGTCGTGCACCTGGCGGTCACCCTCGTACATCACCCTGAGATATATTATGTAAGTTGACAAATCCCATGTGCCTGTAACTTCACCAGCATAATGATACATACGAAATAGGTAAGGTGGTAGTACTTCTGCACTTCTTCCCTGGACGTACTCTTTCACGAGGTGCTCTACTGCTACATTATACTTATACTTACCTAAGTACAATCAGCGTACAACAGTCTAAACGTGCTATATGCAAAACGGTCTAATATACATAATGCTCGTTTATTTGGAACTCATAAATAACGAAATCCGACACGTTAAGACTGATTCAGAATCTTCATTGTCAAGAAGTAGGTACGTTCTAAAATGTTAGTCAGCCAATACCTTATTCATAACGTACGTCGTAACAAAATAACAGTCATCATTTATTACAAGTATCTTCGGTAAATAACCCTATGTGGTTACTGGGTGGCCTTGCAGAGGTAGCAATTAACAGATCTGCGACATTTCATTTTCAAGTTTAAATATCTACCCACCTTCCGCAATATTCAACGTCACTCGCGACAAGTATCGTGTATCGTCAATGGTATTGAACCAGAGGAGGTGTAATGCATGGAATGACGCATAAATTCCACGACTGTGGACCGTACTTACCTAAGTATTTTAGACAATAATATAGGAAAGGAACAAAGGGAATTACAATAGTGTATTAACTCAAAAGGTGTATTTTTTTCAAAATCAATGAAAAACAGATCACTTCCCGTGAAAGAATGTATCATATATAGGTTCAAGTTTCATAAAGACATGACACACGTCCTCACTTGTCGAATTCCGATCATTATAAAATGGACATAATGTTTGGGGGTGTAACAAAGGTTAGTAAACCATCACCAATGACACACGGCGCCATCTTTATAACAAACTTATCTTAATCTTATTAATAACCTTGAAAATTAGAAATACTAAAGCGACATCTCTAGTCAACTGCTGGTAGCTGTAAAGGTACCTGGCTGAGTGAAGAAATATATTTCTCACAGATGGCGCTACAGCAATAAAGTCGTTAAAAACCAAAAAACAAAGATCTGCTCTTTTGTTTCTTACAATTTTTTTACGGTTTTATTGACGTGTAGAGAATCAAATTTCACGTTCTGAAATGGTATAATCTTGAATCTCACCTATTTTGAGTACACTATTGTAATAGCAGTGCGTTATATGGTCAAATGTAAACTATAATAAGTATTTTATGTTTAATGCATTTATTGACGACTGACGACCTCGGTTGCCTAAGGGTTTACATTGTGTGCACTGGATGCGGAGGTCCCGAATTCGATTCCCTGTTGGACCAATTTGAAAATGAACTGCCTCTGTGGCCGAATGGTTATCTTGCCAGACTGCCACGCAGAGGTCCCAGGTGCAGTTCCCAGCCTGGAAGAAGTACTTGTATGGCCTACATTTATTTCTCTCACGAGTTTGGGTGTAATTTGTGGTTGTCTATGTGTGTGTCCATGGCACCCGCGATTCAGGGTTTCCCTAATGCGGGGCTATGTTGAGTGTGTGCGTGTTAAAAAAAAAGAACTTTTGTAAATTAGTTCCGGTCTAGACGCTCTGGGTAGTGATCCAGAATTCCATTGCTTTTGTACTCATAGTACAGGAAATTCCACAGTTTGAAACCAGGCAATTGGGTATGATTGTCTGGCATATAGTATTATCAAAATAATAATTATTATTGATTACGTAGGTAACAAACGTATCCTGGATTTTAACGAATCTGTGGTAAATGCATTAACCTAGGTCAATGAGTGATGAATGAAAATAAAAATGGGAGGAGGATCTAGAGCATAAACCAGGACGTGAACCGTTTGTGAGTTATTTTCGCAACTATTCATTAAAAACTTAATTTTTTTCCCCTATGCATTACCAGAATTTTTACAACCATGTCGTAAACATGTGATGATAATTTTTAATTGTTTTGTTTAGTCGTTCATGTATAATCAAATTTTTGGTGCGACCAGTCTTCAAGAAAATATTCAGGATTGCGGAACACTTTTTAAGTATTACCTCCTGCGTTACTAATCAAACAGAATTTAGGTATGTATTTTTTCTGTAAATATAAGTACTTATAATGGAAATGGGAATATTTTACTATTTTTAGAAATTCGATTTAGACCAAAACAAATTGAAGTTTCTATTATTAAATATAGAAGAGTTAGGCATTTTTTTTTTTTTATTGAAAAGTTTGAGGATAGCAGAGTGTCGGTAAAAAAATTTATTGCCCCACTTACAACCATTGAGGAATAACTTATCATGGTAATTTAAGACCTCTTAAATAATACTTTAAGCAACTTGGCATTGTAAATAGTAAATTGTGCTTTCTATAGAAGGCAAACTCTCCTGCATGTTTGTAATAAACGTTCATGTCATCATCATCAGCTTATCGCAGTCCACTGCTGAACATAGACCTCTCCCAATATGCGCTATTTCACCCGGTGCTCGGCTTGTCACACCCATTTGCTACCAGCAGCTTTTCTCAGATCGTCACTCTCAACTGGCCAGAGGGCGTTGTGGGACTACCTACAATAGCCAAGTCGTGATCTCCACTCAAGAACTCGCTTCCCCGATCGGCTTTCGGCTCTTCGACAGACTCAAGAACTCGCTTCCCCGATCGGCTTTCGGCTCTTCGACAGATATGACCAGCCCACTGCCACTTCTTGGTTAACTGTCAGTAGGCTAGCACGACAGGACGCGACTTCAGCGAGAGCAACATAAAACGCGAGATACTGCTATTCTCTCATAGAGATGTCTGTCGTGCTAGTCCTACAGATAACCTCATTTCGAATCTTATCCCTCGAAGAAACTCCGAGCATAGCACGTTCCATAACTCGCAGAGCAACTGTATGTAATTGTGAAAGTATTATTCACAACACCGCAAAATTTCAACACGACTGAAAGAACAAAAGCATTCGATGAAAAATAAACGTCATTCCTGTGCAGCGTGCCCCGGTGACTAATTACGAGTGTCCAACTAATTCAAATCCCGTGAACCGGCTTTTGTTCTCAGAATCATTTCATACTATATCACTACGTAAAAGCGCTAATTAGGAATAGCATTACTAATGTTTCTTGAGCTTCTCGAGCGAAACGCATCTACAAGGTTTCTTGTCTAAAGCCTGACTAACCCCCGTCTTATTGTGTGAATACTGTCCGCTCACATTTCATAGTACCTATACAAGCAACTGTCCCATATTAATATTATAAAGGGAAGATTGATGTATGTTCGAGAGCTTTTTTATTACTAAGTGAAGTGACGAAAAAATCATGCGCCTAGTGGTAACTGACACGCCTATAACAGTTGGAATGCCACTCAGAGCTTTAAATCGCAAACATTTGAGGGGCAATGCCATTGCGTCCGTCACCATGAGACAAGTTGACAAGTCCCAAAACGGGAACATAGTAATATTTACCGGTAGAAGTAAGTAAGGTGGCAGTACTTACCTGGACAAACGATTTCACAAGGAACTCTACTGATACTCAAATCAACGCATATAGCTGCTAATGACACTGGTCTTTACTAAGAAAAGGGCCAAGACTACTACTCTGGTCTATACAAGTTGAGATTTTATATCTATTTTATAATTCGTTTAAATTACAGAACGAATGTACTTTAAACGAATTACAAACGAATTACAGAACGAATGTTTTTAATTCTTGGCAAGAAGTTCTCTAGCTTCATCGTATTATCAATTCCAAGTGGTTAAGTAGAATTTTTTTTAATTCGTGGCCAGCATAATAATTGCTTTATTCGTTAAATTATTTGCATATAATGTGACTGGAATGCATTCATACGTTTGTTTTATATTCACAACAGTTTTGTTTAAAAATACTTTATAATTTACTCATATCACATTTACGAACAAAAAAAATAATAAAAAATCTTTTGAGCATTCAAACTTTTTGTTTTTGCTCATGAGGTTATAGTATTTATGATTATGTATATTTTAAAAAAATATAAAATAAATAAAGTCGACTTTATTTGTATTACGAGAGTTTTTATAAATTGAATCAAAAGTCTACTACAACTTGGGGCCGTTCGCGCTAATTTGGCGCGACGGCGACGACTTCAACTTCGAGGCTCCAGTGCTCGAACAGCCGGCGGCAGCGGGAGCGTAGAAATAAAAAAAAAATACAAGTAAGTGTGATGAAAATGAGAATCTAGTTACCTACTATACAAGTACCAATGCCTTACTATACAAATACACCAATGCCAGAGCGGCTATACCGTTAAAATAATCAACAGTACTAACTTCAATTATTTTAATTAAATTATTCATTTTTCAATTTCTTTTCACAACATGAATTTTTAAATAATTTTAATACAAACGAAATCAGCCTCATAATTTTGAATATAACGTATAAAATTATCAAAAATAAACAACTTAAAATAATAATGACATCTATGAGCGATCTTTCGAACCACGTAGTTCGTTGTGACGGTAAAGGTGGTGGCCCAGATCCATGACGTGCTACGTACTCAGTCCAGTAGATGGCGCTATCCATTACATTCATTGGCCTATCGCGCCAAAGTTCTGAAATTTTCTTTGCGTTTTGTTGCATTCTGCAATAATAAAATGAGGATGCATAAACTATTAAATTATGCATTGATTATAATATATACAAGTTTACCTACATACTTATCAAAAGCAACATGAATACTTACTTTTGTGTCGTTAATTCCCGTATTCCATCCACGAGGTTGTCACTGTTAAGTTTGTCAAAATATATAATTTTGCCCAGTCCAATTGCTTCGGCTGCAGCCGCGTTGCTGAACTGATCGCCAAAAAAGGGGATTACAAGCACTGGTTTACCGCAGTATGTGGTTTCAGAGAGACTCAGCATTCCGCCATGCGTTACAAAACCCAGCACCTTGGGATGACCTAAAATCATATAATCTCAGTACAGAATACTAAAAAAAACGACCTCAAAAGTACGTGGAAGTACGTCTATTTGCAAAGTTTTATTGAAATATCCTTAAATTCGCCACTATACAGGACTTGACACTGGAGATAATAAAAATCGGGTCTCACTATTCAAAGTTTATTGAGAGAAAAACGCCTTGAATTGGAGAAATAGCAAAATTTAAAAAACCATTAAAATAATTGCTCCTTAAGTAAAATTTAGGCGTTATTTATAAAAATGAATTTTCATGTGTGAACAGCCACCCTTAGAGGTGGATGATTTTTTTCAAAATGAAATGGAACAACTTTGGAAGTACCCCCTTTCCAACAAAAAAAGAATCATGAAAATCGGTTCACAAATACCGGAGTTATCGCGTAACATACATACAAAAAAAACATAAAGTCGAATTGAGAACCTCCTCCTTTTTTGAAGTCGGTTAAAGATACTGTGCACTGTACTTTTTTGTTTTATTACATATTCTTTGACTTCCACACCATATAAACTTGTTTACTTTTACTGTTTAACATGGACTTTTAATTTTGTCTCAACAGGAATTAGAGTAGGTACCTAACTTAGAATTTTGAAGAAAATCTGTTATCTATTTGCATATTACCTACATAGAACGTAAAATACATAGGGCACACTAGAAGTTTCCGAAAATGGCCACTTACATAAACAATATTTAAACAGTAATTACAACATTTGAAAATGGAACTCGCTGTACAATACAGTTTGTTTCATCTAACTGTCACTTGTTTTTACATTGTGGCGTCATCTTAGAAATTGATTGTCTAAGTACATCACCATGGATTTAACTTGAAAATTTTCGAAGTGTAATGTAACAGCTCAGCGGAGCTTCGCTCGACTTCAAATTGCTTTTGGCGATAAAGCACCAAACAAGACGACTACTTATTTATAGCTGGTTTGCAGAAGTCAAACGCGGTCGTGAGAATCTCTGTGACGAATTTCGTGATGATCGCCCGTCCATTGCTGTGAACAACAAAAACATCGATGCTGTGCGCCGTATGATCAAAACAGACAGGCATGTGACATACCATGAGATTTGGGCATCTTCTAAATATAATCAACACTACACAAACATTGGAGTGTCAAAAAGCTATACTCTCGGTGGATCCCACACAATTTGACTGAGGCTCAAAAACGAATCGCGTCACTTGATGCAATGCTTTCAGATTCCACCAAAGGGTGTCAAATTTGGTGTGGGACATAGTAACAGGTAACGAAACATTGATTTATAGTTACGATCCCAAAACAAAGCAGCAATCGAGCGTATGGGTCTTTCGAGATGAGCCGAAACCACCTAAAGTGGCGCGCGTGCAAACTACCTCTAAGCGGATGATTGCTTCTTTTTTTAATACACGTGGCTACTGCTGCTTTGGAGAATCGTTATACCATGAATAGTTATTGGTACATGACCATTCGTTTGCCGGAAGTTATTGACAAACTCCTTAAAAATAACCGTAAACCCCGTATCACCTTGCACCACGATAATGCCAGTTCTCACACGGCCAGGCAGACAAATGAATTTTTAAGATGAACAACGTTGACCTTATGAGCCATCCCGCATACAGTCCTGATCTGGCACCTGTGTCTTTTATTTATTTCCAAAAAAAAATTAAGAACCAGTTACGCGGTCAACGATTTTCATCACCTGAAGAGGCTGTCGAAGAGTATCAAAAATATGTTTCAGAGATAGTCACAGAAGGAGTGGCATAAATGTTTTCAAAATTGGTTCATTCGTATGAAAAAGTGCATTAACGCTAACGGAGTATATTTTGAGAAACAGTAAATTCATTTCTGACCATTTATAGTATTTTTTTCTTATTAATTCAGGAAACTTATGGTGCGCCTCACGTACCTACATTAGTTATAAGTTACACCATAATTCAAATAGTCACTTACTCATTTTTTATTACTTACACAAAATATCTAATTGCGGAAACCAATTGTAAGCAAAAACGCTTTGATTTTCATGAAAAGTGGCGTTCTCATATTTCCAAATTACTTTTTGAGGAATCTTCTTGAAGGCGTCTAGAAATTGCTGCATCTTCGCCGCTGACATTGAATTGGCTTTCAAGTTTGAACCAAAACTGACATAGATTGCCCCAAATTCTGCATCTGCTAAAAATTGTTCCACGTTCTGGAAAATAATTCAATAACATAATTACGTTCTTTAAATGCACGAATAATAATGGAACAGATTAAGGACCGGAACCGGTTAAATTTCTAAGCCGATTTTGAGTTAATAGAGGGGGTCATTAACTCAAAACCAGCTGCTTGATTTTGATTGCCTCTCCCGATCGGAAAGTGCGTCTTTTCCGAGTCGAGGCGTATAATATTGCGGATGGGCTACCGATCGGATCAATTCTGATTTGAATTAAAGTCAGGGCCCAGGGCTGAAACAAAAAATAGTATACAGGTTCCGGTTATTTTATAGGTATAGGTCATTTGCATATTAAATTATCAGTTTATCAGAAGTATTGCTCGCTGTGTACCTACGATATAACGATTTAACCGCAGAGACGAGGATACCGCCGTAAAGTTGCCTTCATATCAGTATTGTACAGGATATATCACAGCTTGATTTAATTCCGCCTTTCCCTTTCCATCATAGGGGGACTAGACGTAGGCCGGGGTTCTACCCCTATGTTGAGGATTTTCTAAGAATTCACACGAAGCGTTTGGTTTCCACATTTATATGGCGAAAGACCAAGGAATGGAATTCCCTGCCTGCAGACTTATTCCCAGAACTCTATAACTTGGGCCTTTTCAAGGCGAGAGTGAATAGGCATTATTTAGGTGTGCATGCTACATCGTCGACCTCATCGTCCCTTTGTGAGACGCACCTGATGAAAAGTGACGACGTACTACTACTAATAGGGATCAATCTATTATTAGTACTACCAACAATAGATACTATGAATAGTGAGCCAAATAAATTACAACACCCATCGCATTCGTAACGGCGCAAACATGTGGCGACGAACACCATATAGACCTAATGAAATCGTCAGTTGCGCGCTATAAGACTTCTTGCAATTGTACCCTATCTATATCTTATTTTCGCATTCCATGAACAAGCGAGAATGACAGTGGCGAACGTTCGGCTACATCATGTCCTCTCTCAATCAAGCACAATATAAGAAAAAATAAATGAGAAAAAATGAATACACTTACTTCTGGCATGGGTTTTGGTTTGCCGATATGAATCCCTCCGATCTCCAGCACATGAGGCGACTGAATACGAGATCCAGTTAACGAAAAATGCTGGTAAGCGAACACCATCTTTATCCTCTCTTCAGCAATCTTCTCAATATCCAAGGCAAAGTCAGGAAGAAATCGATAAAACACTTCGTAAACTGCCCGTTGATTATACCACCTCCCAACAGTGTTGTAGAAATGATTTAAAACAAAAGCTTCGACTTTGTAATATAGTGACGGATTAGGCCCGCTCTTTGAAAAGTAAAACGGCTCGGAACTGACGTCAAAGGGTAATCCTAACCTTGAGTAACTTAACGGTAGTAACACGTGAGATGTAATGCCGATGATTGGAGCGTCGAAATATGCTCCCACATACGCCAGTCCGCAATCACCAATAAATTGTTCGGCAAAAATCACGTCGTACTTAACGTCTTCTGCCAAATGAGTCCTCGCATTTTCATTCGTAAATAAATTCTCGCAATCTGCTCTACAAGCATCAGGAGTTATTTGGAAATGTCTGAAGAAATTATATAAATGTAGATATGTGGAATCAAAGGTCTCGTAGAATTCTAAAGGAGTGAAGTACCCAGCGTAGTTGGTGTTGTTACTGCTTATATCCACGAACTGAAGATTTGTGATAGGCCATTCGTTCGGATAGTTATTGATTACTGTCACTGTGTGCCCCCGGTATGCAAGTTCATTGAATAAATTTTGGAAAGCCATGTAGTGACTTCGTAGTGGTGCGGAGACAATAGCGAGGATTTTGAATGAGACAACATTTTGCGAAAAGAGCAACGTTAGAAAGAGCGCAGAGAAATTACGAAAATACATTGCGGTGCGTAACTTTGTCGGGGTGAGGAACCGCTGTGTACTTGACCCAGCGCGACCGGTTCTAATTTGAGCGAGACAGCCAGCTGCCTGTCACCGCGGCCTGACTCTAACTGACGATAATAATGTACCATATCCAACGATCGCGTGCAACGACAGACTCTAACCACATGACGGCGGCAGTTATTATTATCGAACAATAACCTTGTGTTTTACGTTTTAATTCAGATGTATACTAACACGGGGTTCCATTAATCTAAAAGGAAGAATGATGACCAGATATCGGAATATGCACAGTATATTTACACTTCGAGTAGTACATATAGAGTGGATAAAACCTCCTCCTGAAATCTCGGAATATTTGTTGTTTACGTGCGGGGTTACTTGTAAATACCAACAACCACGCAGGACTATATAACTAACATCATAAACAGCGACTTTTCGCCGGGAATAGTGCCAATCCGCGTAGGTATGTAGCATTGGTAAAAGGCCCGTAACAGCACTAAACCAAATTTCACGAGAGAATAATTGTACATCGTTACTTTGTTATTTCAATAACTTTAAATTTTCCACAGTAAAAGCATTAATTTATGTTGTTTACGGACTAATAACAATAGATTCCCGCTAATTTGTTTGCACGAAAGTTACGCGTTTTTTATTTGGCCACTAATTTACCGAAATGGAAACTTATAATCAAATGCTAGTTACGCGTTATTGCACTATCCCCGACGTTTTGTTCCATGGCTTTTTACAAAACATAATAAATTTACCAAAAATAAACTTTCTTGTTTTACTATCTGCCACTTTTTAGAGTAAGGTTGTAAGTTCAAAAGTGCAAGCGGCCTTTCCAGATATATCACTTATGTATTTCGACCGATCTATGTAAATATTATATTTTTGTAGGAAAGTAAAATCTGACGAATTATTTAAAGTGATGGAACGTGAGTTGTTACTTATGTTGTTAGTAACATAAACCTGCGAGCTTTGTATTGTACTAATAAACCTGTATAATTATACATTATCACAAAAACAAACTGCCAAGGAAGATTAAAAGAACAACACGAAGTATTTTTACAATTACAACAATTTCAAAACTTTTCTTCTAAATACTCTGCCGTAGTAATTTTTCCTTCTCCTAGCGTCATACACCTCATCATTACTGACTGTCGTGACTCCCCCGCGGACACAAACTCCGCATGACAACGCTGTGCCATCTGTGGCGGTCTTTGGCATAGTGGAGCGCATCATGGAGACCCATGCCGAGAGCCATCTTATGGGACAGCGAACCCTCAGACGTTTACCGTCGATCCGTCCGGTGACCGTTAGTTGTTCGGTTGTTGTGTTCTTTCCTGGCAGTGTGACCGAAGAAATGAAGTATCCTACGTAAACATAAGGTGAACAGTCTGGTCTGGACGTTCAGTTCCTGCAAAACTGAGTCGTTGGTGCGACAATCAGTCCAATTGACTCCCAACATTTTCCTCGTCACGTTCCGCCTTTTTTAGTGTCCACGTTTCCGCTCCATAGTTAAAAATGGAAAACACCAAAGAGCCCACCAATCTCATCTTAGTTTTACGCGCGATGTTACGGTCCTTCCATACTCTCTGCAGTTGGTCCATAGCACCTTTACCCAGTAACGTTTAGATAGATAAAAACAGAACGAAATTTCAGAGGGCGGTATTATCCACTGTACGTGTATAATTTCCTTGTGCGAGCGAGCGATTCGTTCTGTGTACCGTTTAGGCTCTCGGGTTTCTCTCAGAGAAAAGTTAAAGGAGACTGGTATCATGACTGTGGCATCACAGTACATTTACTCAAGTATTTTATATGCCCGTAAAAACACATATAATTTCAATAAGGTAATATAACCTCAGAGTTAAGTCCAAACTCACGGTACCAAGATTTCGTTTAACCAAGGTGACCGACTCTTTTATGGGGAACTGTATACATATTTACAATAACCTTCCGGAGCATATATTAATATTATAATTTCCTGAGTTTAAAAACTACATTAAAAATATTTTAATTGTAGTCATATTATAAAATTGAGGACTACGTGTTAGATAAAGATATATGTCAAGACGAAGACAGATTCCACACAAATTTGATTCAAAGTGTATTCCATAGCATTTAAGTATATTTGAAAAGAGCAATCCCTAGAGTTTCTTACTGTTTCTTCTTAGGGCAATCAGCGTAGTGAACGAGCAGTAGCTTAAATGTGAACGTTTTCAAGTGTGCATTTATTTTGCCTATGGAATAAATGATTATTTGACTTTGACTTTGACGTTGTAGTTCAGGTAAATATACATTGCCTATTTCGATCTCTGATGATGATTAATAAAGTTATATAATAGACTATTAATACCTGGACTTTGACGCAATATGCAAAACCGCTGAGCCTAAGGAACAAAAGAAATAATGGTCCTAAATAATTGAGTAGTCGATGTTTTATTTGTGATTAAATAAATTAATAAATAATATTTACATACATCAAGTACAGAGATGCTGATAAGAGTCTCACATAATGGTACACTTAAATTCATTATACATACGAATACAAGTTTAAACTAAATTACAAAAATGAACCATTGATCATCCTATAATACCTATTTACATTTATTTTACGTTTAGTAGTTTTCTCACAGCACCAAACATCTATTAATCGACAAATAAATAAAAAAATAGATATAAAAACAGTCAGCGTCAAAGTAATCTAAATATTGTAACCAAATATAGGTATATTATATAGATACGTTCAAAGTAGACAATTTTATTAACATTTAACAATAATGGACCTTAACATTTAATAATAAATTCAAGCTTTTAAGTGATTAGACGCTGAGTGTACCAAACGATATGAATAGGAACAAAGTTGATAAGTAAATTTTTCGCTTTAACCGACGACAATGTTATATCAATGAGTTTGTAACATTATAGCTCTTAGGAAATGGAACTATTTTTCCGGATTTAAATCGCGTATATTTGTTTTTTCAAACAAACCCTTTTGTTTGAAAAAACAAATATACGCGATTTAAATCCGGAAAAATAGTTTCATTTCCTATGTGTAACAATCGCGAAAACCTAAGAACTCGATATTACAGCTCTTCATTAATGGTGTTATCTTTTTTAAATAATAAACCTATTGTCTTTACAAGTGCATACATAATATTGAAACCCTATTATGTCTATTTAACCCGTTTGCCGAAATTAAAATAATCTCTTCTGTACAATGTAAAGGCAGACAGCAATAAAGAAGAGGAATGCAAAGAACATTATCACTTTATCGGTGAATTCTCTTCGTCCATACTTCTTCAACAACTTGCTGGACTGCGAGATCGTTCCTGCCGTATTTTGGAGCTCGGATTGTGTACCCTAGGGACAAAATGCGGTACATAATTAAATATTTTACTGGCTTAATACAAGCGAAATTTGTCATAATACTACAAAAGTTACCTTAAAAAAGCGACTATGTAAAACAAACTAAATACATAAATGTAACTCAAATAAGGAAATTTATTACATATTTCGTTATATAAACATACATAACACGTAGACTATACTAATTCTTATCTAAATACAGCATAAAGTAATAATAAGAATCAAAGTTTAAACTGACGTTCTCAAAATCTGGTGTAACTTTTTTACATTAAAATTAGATTTTTTAATATAAAATGTTAAGATTTTCAATATTTGACTATTGGCGTTACTTATTTTACTATGCG